TCTCCATTCTCTTTTTGAAATTCTGTAAAAAATAATTAATCCTTTAACTAGTTGATCGAGAATCTAGTGAAAATGCTGACAAATGGAGCTATTGCGAGTTCATTTCGATAAATTTACCTCAGTAACAGTACTATCACCAATACAATTAAAAAATGTTGTCAAACCTTTTTTTGAAATATCGGCTTCAATGACTTCTTATTTAATTTGATAAATGTTAATAAGTTAATTAAGGCGCAACTAATATATATTAACTCAAAAGGATTAACCACAAGGGACCACTTTAGTCTATCTACTCTCCTCCCGGCTGATATGAAGCTATTGTATTTGATGAAAATGTATAAATTTGAATATTCAGTAACGGTTTATTATTTCAATTAAGAGGCCAAGAAAATTATATCAAATTTTCCTGCACCTAAAGAAGCTGTGATTTAAACAGGGCTCGTAGCTACTCAATTTGATAAAAATACATTTGCTTATTCAATGTGGCTCATTCAATTAATACGAGGCGAAAAATTGGAATAACTACTGATTAAGTTTATGAAAACTTTCTTTTAATCGCCAAAATGGTTACATTATTTTGGTGGGTTACCAATAAAAGTCATCTAGTGGGCTCCGATTAGAGTATGCAAGACGCGACGGAATGGAAGCCAGAATTTATCCACTGATGTTCACTTAAGTGGAAGTGAGAAGAAGAAGAAGACGCAGTGAATGTAGAGGAGTCAATTTTGTTATCACAAGACTGAATTTCTGGAATTCCAAGTAAAGGCCGTTAGTAAATGGACATCTGTTGATATTCCTTAACTGGTATTTTGACCGAAATGCCACTAGGTTCGATACCGAATGAAAATATTACAGTACAACGAGGAGCGCAATATAGACAAAATATTTTTTTTGCATTAGTCTGGGTAGATTTATCTCATCTCTTTGCCAAATTTATTGTATATATCTTAACAATATCATCTGATTTTACTTGTTATGCACTTGAAGGTCCTTAATCTAACTTTAATTAACAAATAAATATATAACTGGATGTTCATTTAAATTTTTAACAGAGTTAAATTATCAATAAATGAAATAAAATGTAAAATTTATAAAATATAAATCCATATTAATGAGTTATTGATTTTTTGTCTGATACCAGATACTAGGGAGCCGTCTGTGACTTCGTGATACGCTAAATCGTAACTACTCACTTAATATCATACTTTTGATTAATTTTGCGCTCCTTGACATTGCCAATTACTATCTCCTTTAATCAATTTTTTTGGAATCAAACTCGTTTGTAGATGTTTGTAAACCCCGTCTATATTGGTGACTCCTGCTCGTAAATGCACTCTAATAAGCTTGATTGTCAATTTCTAACGTAGTGAATACGTTTGTAATAGACTTCGTGAATAAATATACCAATCTATACCTTTTGTAATGAGTCAAACTGATCTCATAAATCAGATTATCTCTTGGCTCATGATGTGCTGCCCCTGATCTACGGTTAATCAACCCACAGAATCTACAGACGTCGCGATGCTGCCTGCTCTCTGGATCAGTGTGGCCTGGTTGATCGAACTTTTGTAGTCTTCTAACCGGATTTGTTTGTCAATAGTGCCAAAGAGACAGACATAGTAAAACATCGAAATACCCAATTACCCCCCCCCCATAGCCTTCATTTTGGTTTCTATAAGGCCCTTTTACCAAAAATTTTTATCTTCATCTTTAGATAAAGATGGGCTATTAGATAACTCGATACCACAAGAATTTCCCGCAATATCACTTTAATTCAGAGGCTTTCGATTTGAATGAAGTTGGTGTTACTTCCAAGGACTATGTTAGATCTTACATCTCGACAGAGTGGCTTTTACCGGCAGGTGATTTTCAGTCAAATTTTCATTGACTGTTCTGATCCAGCTGAAAGCTAACTAATTACGCTTGGAACATTATTGTTATTACTATATCAAATGGCAGGCGTCTTGATGGATATCATTAGCCCTTTAGTTGACTTCAGGCTTCACAGAGGGGAAGGAACATCAAATTGAAAAAGTCGAGAGGAGAGGGGAAACAGAAGAGTGGTTCACAGACGTATAAGAGACAGGCAGACACAATGGTAGAAAAAAGGTGAGGTGAGTACTATGGAAGTAGTCGAATATGACATATAGTGAGATGATGGTAGTTTGAAGTGAGAAGTCAACTTCCGGTTAATAGTCTTTTTGCCGTATGTGTATTCGTTGCCCAGGGTGCACCACGTGGAGGTAAGTCTATCGCACATCCACGCTTGGAACATCAATCTCTGGAATTAGTTCCATTTAATAGAGTCACGACTTACGCTCATTTGTCTTAGAAATTTGAAAGAAATTTTGTGGACGGGTTTTATGACGACCTTTCACTGACTAAATAAGCTTCTACGTAGGTCTACCAAGAAAATTCCTTGTTCCATATTCTCACCCCATATTAACCACATTACTGAGCTTAAAATATAGAATTTTCATAGTCTAATTGTCTTCATAATTAAACAATTTTGGAGGCATCTGAGAGGCTATCTATGTATTGACAACAATTGCACAAATATGCACTTTAATCGTTGAATACTGTCGGACAAGTTTTCACTCTCCATTGAGTGTGACTGATGATTTCTTTAAAACCTCGATTCTCGGTTAGGGAAATTTTAAAATTGTGCTATGTAATCCAATTTTTACCCTATTTACTTTAAATTCATTCACATTAAAAGAAGTAAAATGTGATTCAGTTTATAAAAAAATTAACCTACTTCTTCATTTGATTTTCCATCTATAGCCTGATAACTGCGATGCTAAGATTCACAGCGTGACGTAATTTCAAGCCAATTTCTAATAATTTAACAAGATTCTTGATAATCGGTGAGTAGTGCTTTGTATTAAAATCGTCTGGTGAAAGTATGGAATAACGAAATGTTCGCCTCCTGGACGACATTGAGTAAAAATAGCCGAAGTACAATTTTTTCTCTATTTTATTTTATTTTTATTAATATAACCCCCGTGCGAAACCATAAAAATCATTACCATTATTAAACTATTGAAAAGAAAATGAACTGATGAGGCAAAGCTAACCATTCCTAATTAAATAATTTCATTTAATAATAGCGTTAATGGATATCGATTTTTTGAACAATTAAGGCGTCCAACAATAATTTTTTGCACAATTGCAGGCAATGGAACAATGCGAAAATACAATATATAATGTGGCGCATTCACAAATTATAAAATAAATTTTAAAACATTTTTTAAGAAAAGATGTAGTGAGCATTAAAAAAATAAAGAGTTGAGCAGTCATTTAAAACAAGGCATGAAAAATTGATTAAGTTAATTCACTTTATGAGAAAAAACACACTTAAAACTAATATGTTTCAGCTTATCTATTTATCTTTTTAGGGAATTCAAAAATTTTCAACAATGGTTTTGCTTACTGAAATTTATGCATAAACTTGTGGGCAGTTTTGACCTCACCAGTCTTGGATCTTGACATACAAGCATTAATATCTTTTGCAAGTCTTCGAATTTATTTTAACCGTAGTGTAGGATACTTCGGTCTTAGAGTTTAGGCGACTATCACAGTGTTTGCAGGATCCATTAAGGGGAAGCAGATTCTCTCCTGTCTAATTTCTGTTCATGTGTTTAAAATTTAATAAACTTGCCCATTCTTTCAGTAGAGCATCTCCAGTTTGGAAATCCTTAAATAATTCTCGCTTGCAGACATGACACAGCATTTCAAGGTCATTTGCGTATTAATTTGTGAAGTTAACCAATTCTGATGTTCATGTATACGAATTCCTCCAAATTTTCAGGAATGGCGATAAGTCTAGGTGATAATAGGTGCAAAACAAAATGATTCCTTTCCTGCGGTTTTACGATTTATCGAATAATTGATAATGGAGGCATAAGTAGTTGAGAGAATTGTCTCATAAAATGTTTGGCCTAAAAGCACTTAGCATTTTTATTTTAGCTGGCATCTTAAATCTCTTAGTTTCATGCAAAATCACTTTCTTAAGCTCAGCCTCCCTTTAAATTTTATGATTCCGCCATTTTCCATTTCGCAAATAAAACAAGGTTAGTTATTTTGGCCGTAAACTCATGTTGAATTGTAATGACACTGGTATTGCAAAGAGTGGCTTTTGCTAACAATATACCATATTCAAACGGTTCACTAAGGCTATTAATTACGAAATATTAATTTTTTAATATAAATTTTTTAAGTGCTAAATTGTTTTAAAGAATAAATTCTACCCCCCCCCCCCAAACCTTGTACATTATATCTCTTTCTGTAAAACTTAATTCCTTTTTGATCTACGTCAATCGAATTTGAGCGGAATATGAATCCCGAAATCCAATTTCAACATTATCTCCTTCATCCAGTTCAGAGAGAAAGGAGGAGCTTATGATCACACTTCCAGAAAGAAGTCCGTTTCACCTTAAGTCTCATGCAGTAATGAAGTTGAATTTTGCACTGATTGAAAGTGAGGGGGAATTAGAGCTGGATAGGAATTTATAATTTCATATCTTTCGGATCATAAAGTGATTATCAAAAAAGTGAATGAACTGACGATTGCCTGAAGAGAATTCAAAACCCACCTGCTTTCCATTCAGACATGGTAAAAAAATTTATTTTGACAAAAAGGGAGATACAGAAATTCGATTTTCTCCTTAAAAATTTTAACCTTCTTTTATCTCAGTTGGATTTGTTTTATTTTGGATTTTACTAATTTTTTGGCTTACTTAACACTATGCTTAGAGCATATTTTGGAAAATGCAAACCATTAAATATGTGTTTCAATAAATCAGTCGACTCATTTTTATATTAGAGATCATAATTATTTTTCCTTCGTAATGTGGGATACAGACTTGACATACATCGGTGCAAAATTCGTGCTATTCATAGGCGGAACACAAGCAGCCATTCCTCCTCACAAAACAGAAAAAAGATATAAAATAGTTTCCATCCTTTTTAAATTCTATTTTTCTTTATATTCCCCAGGAATGCTGGTGAGCGGTTTGATTTTGCGAGTGATCAGCGTTTGCATCTCACCGTATGAGCTACTTGTGGATGGTTTCCCTTCAAAGAATGGAACTACTTCCTCAAACTCCACAACTCCATTCCTACTCTCCCAGCCTCCAGAATCCATGGATTCGTCTCGACTCATCTCCAATCCTATAGTCACTCTCGCAGCTACTATGCGTGTCAGCAAGGGTCTTTCCAGTTCTCTACGACAAATTGCTTTAGCTACAATTCTTACTCGCGCGGGTCTTGGACTTAAGCCGTCTACTCTAATGCGAACTTGGAGTGGTGTGCTTCGATTAACTTGTATTCCTTGTTTGACGGAAGCGTTGGTTTGCACCATTGTTGCCAAGTACTTAATGAATTGGCCGTGGTCATGGGCTTTCATGATGGGGTGAGTGAGTGAATGATTTGCACTAGCTTCCTTCTAATTGATTATTATCATTATGTACTTTTTTCAAATGGCAGGCTTTATGATATTTATCATTAGCCGTTAAACTTTGACTTCAGCTTCCCCCATGGGTGGGGGGTACATAAATAGCAGTTCATTAGCTGTCTTCATGCTTCCCAATATCTCTGGGTTTCCGTCGTTGTTTTTAGGGCTGGACACCGAATCAGGTGGGTCTTCTCCATTTCCTCCTGTTGGTTAAATAGGGGCATGTGGGTTGAGAGTATACTCCTAATCTGTGAAGGTACTTTGCCAGCCAATCGTGTCCGGTACGTAGTCTAAACTCAGCAACGGCTTTGATTCTTGGCCAGTTGGCTATGTCGGAGAGTGCCACTGTCCACTGTTTCTCCTTTGTTCGAGCTTTAAATTCGTTGCACCTTGAGATCTTGAATTCTCTCCTGATTAAGGCCTTCATTGTGTGGAAAGACCTCGACCGGTCTATGTCTTGCAAAATCTTTGTCCTCATCAATATATATATATATATATATATATATATATATATCAAACGGATAGAAAGGGAACGCGATAAATAAGAAATCTACTCATGTCCTTCTAAAGCCACCAACCACAATTTGAAGGTACGCAAAAACGAGAAATGAGGTACTTGGGGGTTCATTTGTCATAAGTGCATCCTAAAAGTCGAGTATGCACTGGTGGACAAATCATCATATCTGTGCAGTCACACAGAGATCTATGTTTTATTTATTTATTTCAAATGACAGACTTTATGATGATTATCATTAGCCCATTAGCTGTCTTCGGGCTTCACAGAGGGGAGGAGGAACATTAAAGTGGGAAAAAATTCAAAAGGGCGACAGAACAGAGATTCACATATGTAAACTAGACAGACAGACACAAAGACAGAGAAAAAGCAAGGTGAGTATTGTGGAAGTAGTCGAATACGACATTCAATGGGGTGATGGTGTTTTGAAGTCAGAAGTCAACTGCCGGTTTATAGACTTTTTGCCATATGAGTACACGTTGCCCATGGTGCACCACGTGGAGGTAAGTCCATCGCGCAAAATCACGTGATTCTGTAGATGAAAGGAAGTGTTTTGAATTATGAAATAGCATAAATCGCGCTTATGGGATTCACCTATCCCTGCTTCTCTTCCCTTTGTTAGTAGGCTAGTCACTAATAAAAAAAATAATTTTGATGTTTCGCTATAGATAAGTATAATAAATATGATTAATTTCATTTGCACCTTTTTTCCCAACAGCTTTGTACTTGCTGCCGTTTCACCAGCTGTTGTGGTGCCGAATATGCTTCGCTTGGAAATTGCCGGTTGGGGAATGGGGGCCGGAATTCCAACTCTAATTATGGCGGCGGCTAGTTTGGACGATGTGTTAGCTATTACAGGTTTTGGAGTAGCACAAGCCATCGCCTTCAGTGAGGGCAAAATCGTCCAAGTGGCTTTTAAAGGTCCCACGGGTGTGGCCATCGGAGCTCTGGCTGGAGTGGTTCTGGCAATTGTAATTTGCATTCTACCTCCCCCTGGAATGGTAAGTGAAATATCTATTTATATCAAATAGCAGGAGTTTTGATGGTTATCATTAGCCATTTAGTTGACTTCAGGCTTCACAGAGGGGAGGAACATTAAAATGAAAAAAGTCGAGAGGGAGGGGGGAGGGAACAGAGGAGTGTTTCAAGGACGAAGCTAGAAAAGGTAGATAGAAGGTGAGATGTGTTCTATGGAAGTGCATACAGTGGGGTGATGGTAGTTTGAAGGCGGAAGTCAACTGCCGAATAATAGACATTTTTGCCGTATAAGTATACGTTGCCCAGGGTG